GGTCTTCTTTATTTGTTTTTTTTTTTCCAAAGAAGAGTCTAGAAGGGTCTCTAGGCTTAATGGACTAATCCAAATTGGGCCAAGAACTGGGCTCTAAACCTCTTAAAATTATGATCTAACACCTTAATTGACTCATTTTAAAATAAGATAAAAATACTACACAATCCAAAGCTAATCCTAATTAATTAAACTAAACATGAAACTATTTTTGTGTTTTCAAAATTATATAAAGATAAAAATAAGGTACCATTTTTATTATTTTTTTAAAAAAATTTATGAAAAATAAATAAACTAAAATATTTTTTGTGATTTTCATTTTTCTTGTAACAAAATAAAGTAAAAGAGTCAAAATTAGTTGAAATAGCTATATTAGGCCTAAACTAAATATTTACACGCTAAAATATATAAAATCCTAGGGAGGGTCAAAAATCACATGTCTACACTTTGCATTAAAAAGTGGATCAAATGTCGCAAGAAATTCAAGCAACTTAGGCTTTGATCCAAATATTATTTTAAAAAATAAAGTAAGAAAGAAGATGCAATAGAGTACTCTGAGTCCGAGGATGAGACTGATTCTGAATAGACCATTTGAATATTTTAGAGTTGAAGTTAGAGACATGTTTGATAGTTGGTTGTTTCATTAGTTGGTTGAATTGTTATAAATGTTATTGTTCATTTTGTAGTAAATATTGAATTTTTTATTGTTATATTAGGTTTTTGGTTAAATGTTAGGTGGTTGGTTGGTTGTTTTATTTGGCAGGTGTGTAATTAGAAATATAGCATGATTCTGCTTAAAAATGCCTAGATTTGCGACTGAATCAGTCGCAAATTTCACCAAGAATTACCCATATTTACGACTGATTCAGTCGCAACTTGAAAATTTCTAACAAAATTTGATAAAAATTTGCGACTAAATCCGTCGCAAATGCAGAATTTCTGAATTTTTTAATTAATTAATAATTCAATATGTACCACTGTTTCAGTCAGAATAATTAATTAAAAATTAATTTTATTTTTAAATTTTCCGACGGAATCGGTCGAGACTTTTAATTTGTATTTATTTTTTTATTTCTGGTCAGCGACTAAATCAGTCGCAAATTTTAGCGACCGAATCAGTCGCAAATTTTAGCGACTGATTCGGTCGCAAATCGCTTAAATTCAAATGTCCCCGTATTTTTCAATTGGCGATTGAATCCATCGCAAAATTTTGACTGATTCTGTCGCAAATATATTGTGACCACGTATTTTCAGACTAACACTTTCAATCGGAAATCCGTCAGAAAAACACAATTTTCGACTAATTTGACGGTCGCAAATTTACTGTTTTTTAGTAGTGAGGAGGGCTTGATCATCTTTCTGGAAAGAATCATTGATTCAACCATATCTAATTTATTTCAGATCTTAATTTGTTTTGTACAAATACAATAGGTCCTTTTTTGAAGAGCCCCTTGTACTTCCACACTTATGTACAAATCATTATGTCTTGCTTTTGCTTGGAATTAATTTTTTTAAGTTACAGAAGAAAAGAAGGATCCAGGTGAATCCCATATTACGTAATAATTAAATTTTTTTCAACGTGATCGATAGTGGCGTAGATATGTGTATTGTTTAAATGAAACAGATTGACAATCTTGATAGCATTATATATTGTAAGGGAAAGAGTTCCATTAATAATGAATGATGTGCGAGAAAGAGAGGACAGGGCCAAGTCAACATGGAAACTCCAATCTCAATTCACATGGATCATAATTAATGAACTTGAAATTGTCTCTTTATAAATTTGAACATACATATATCTGCGTCAGTATCAGAATTACTACTCCTAATTCGTTTTTACTTGTTCACTATTTTAAAAATACATTTTCACTTTTACTTATTCATTTTAGCAAATCAAGAGAAAGACAATTTTTTTTTTCTTGTTTTACCCTTATCATTAACTATTAATTTTCAAAATTATTTCCCAATACTCTTTAAAATATTATCATTATAAGGGATTATAAGGTAAAGTAGATATTACAATTATTATTTGTTAAGGGGCGTGAAAAATCTAAGGTGGATAAGTAAAAGTGATCGGTGAGAGTATTAATGTTGGGATTCACCCATATCCTTTTTTTCCTGCTGTAACTGAAAAATTAAATTCAAAGTCAAAATAACATATGGATTTCAAAGGCAACATTAATCCAGAAGTAACCAGTAGATGCAACTCATTTTAAAAATTATAATATAGAAAGAGTGGGTGTAGAACTACTAGAGAACGTGCAGTTCGTTTTCTCCGGGTAATAAATTAATTATTCTGCTGAGCTAATTAGATGGTTACAACCCTACTTAATTATTTATCTAATGCTCTCTGTATATACATAAATGTGGAAGTGCAAGAGGCTCTTCGAAAAACACCTATTGTACAGAACAAATTAAGAGCTGAAATAAATTAGATATGGTTGAATCAACGATTCTTTACAGAAAGATGATCAAGCCCTCCTCCCCGACCCCTTCTTCCCTTAGTCGTCACAGTCTTTATTTCATTGATCAAATAGCCACTTCTGCATACGTTCCAATTGCCAACTTCTACTCCAAACCTGCAAATAACATAAGCCAAATTCTTGAAAACTCCCTTTCAAAAGTATTGTCCTCTTATTATCCCTTTGCCGGAACAATCATGGATATTAAATATGTCGACTGCAACGACACAGGTGCTGAGTTTCTCAATGTGCGAATCAGTTGTCCAATGTCTGAAGTTCTCGACCACACCTATAATGATGCTATAAATATTGTCTTCCCACCTGATTTGCATTGGACTAGTTCCTTTGGCCGAATTCCACTGGTGGTTCAATTAAGCCATTTCGATTCTGGTGGAATAGCAGTCAGTGTATGCCTTTCACACAAGATTGCTGATGGATATAGCCTCTGTAAGTTCCTTAAGGATTGGGCTGCTACAGTTCGACATGAGTTGGATTTCGAACCATCTACTCAATTTGATGTACATTCTTTCTTCCCACCAATCGATGATCTTCCAGTTGTACCCGATATTGTTCGTGAACCTCAACGACGCGTGTCAAGAATCTACCATTTCTAATCCTCTAGTTTGGACAGACTCAAGGATATTGTTGCAATGAATTCACATGTGCAGAATCCAACTCGTGTTGAAGTTGCCACAGCACTGCTTCATAAATGTGGAGCGGCAATATCATGGCGAATTTAGGCATGTTCCAACCATCTATATTGTTACATATATGAATTTTCGCCCCTCATTGCCCTTAAACACCATTGGAAATGTCTTGTGTTTCTTTAGCTCACTAGCATTGAAGGAAGATGAGATACAATTGCCCCAATTTGTTGCTCAACTAAGAAAAGCTAAAACACATCTTCAAGAAAAGTTGAACGATCCAAATCAGCTCGCCTCACATGTTCTTGAAAGAATCAAAGGGACAACAAATAAATCAGAGAAGAATAAAGTTGATTTTTATATGTGCAGCACTGGTGCAATTTTGGGTTATATAACATTGATTTTGGGTGGGGTAAGCCGGTAAGAGTGACCCTAGCAACAAATTCGATGAAGAATCACTTCATTTTCTTGGATTCTCCCAATGGAAAAGGGATAGATGCACTAATCACCTTGACAGAAGCTGATATGTTAATATTTGAGAGTAACAAAGAGCTCCTAGAGTTTGCTTCTCCGGTTGTTCTGCCACAGGAATGAGTTAAAGGCCATTTCCCCAAGCTATATATTATGCGTGATCTACTTAACTAATTATTGTTGTTTGTAAACTTTAATTTCTTATTTTGGGAGAAGTTGTATAATTATTTCATATATCTATTTCAATTTACTTTTGCCTTCTCTTTTGCATGAAGCAAGCAATAACACTGACGAACCTTTTTAGTTTGGCGTAGTATAACGGGATTTTATGTTTTAATGAATGTAATTTCGAAAAAAGTTGAATATATATATATATATGGAAACACCAAAAATTTACACCATTTTTTCATTTAGACAGTTCAAGTTTAATTTTTAATATGGTAATCAGAATAAGCAATTTACTAAAAAAAACTTATGAGAACTGCTTCATCTAAAAAACGCTAATCACACATTTTTTTTTTAAAAAAAGACAGTAAATATATAACTAACTTGAAAAGAAAGAAAAATAAAGAAAGAATCTGCAACCAGAAGTGTCTAGACAAGAGCAAGTAACGAAGGATGATACATTTTTGCTTTGTCGTTTACAAATTGATAATTTTTCTTTCACTCGGTAGAAGAGGAAAAGAAAGAATAAAAATTAAGACTAAGAATTAAGGAAATCTTTTGGCTTTTAAGTTTTTTTGATTTTTTAAAATTTAATAACAAGATGGCTTTTGTGTCTTTTCCTGGTATTAAATTAAGGACTTATTTAGCAATTTTTATTCTAGTTTAGAGAGAACTTGCTCATGTCCCAAAGAAAAAACTCGTTCAACACCCAGGTGTACGCCCAGAACACTTGGACTTACGCTTCGCGTTCGCCCCTCTACGTTTTTACAACGCCCGCCCTAAGGTTAGCCCCGGTAATCGCCCCAGAAACGCCTTTTAAAATACTGGATTGGATTGATAGCAAGCTTCAATTCTGGGTAAAGTATAAATTAATGCTAATGAATCCAAAGGGTCATCAAACCATTTTAACAAATTATAAAATGGGCACAGGTAAAAAGAAAAACATTAAAATACAATACGTACAACACAAATTTATTTGTTAACAAATTCAACAAGAAAAACATGACAACTGATCACACCCGTGTTAACTCCAAGAATCAGGTCATTCAATGCTTTCCAAGATGATCCACCTTGTTTTACAGCATTAGTGGCAGCTTCCCTAATTCCTTCACTTTGTTCCTTACCTCTTTACCTTTCACTCCTTCCATCAACTCCCTTGTCGGCTTTTCCAAACCTTCCCAATTCACAAACCCTCTCACTGACTCATCGCATGTCTCAACTCTTATCCCAATCTTGATTTCCTCCACTACCAGTCTAGCGTTTAGATGTTGTTCCCCATCATAGGCCATGCTAGTATTGGAACATTTGCGCATATGCTCTCTATTATCGAGTTCCAACCACAATGGCTTAAAAACCCTTGAACGCTCTCGTGACTCAGGATTTCGATTTGATCAACCCACTCTGTCACCACCAGTCCCCTATTCTTCACTCTATCTTTAAAATCAAACCCTACTCTATCGTTAACTTCATCAGCTATAGTATTTCTCCTGACAACCCACAAGAAATTGACTTGGGATTTCTCCAACTCAATTTTAATTTCCTTGAATTGTTCAGGTGATATCTGTGCTTGGGTCCCGAATGCCACGTACAAAACTAGCTTCCCTTGTTGTAGCATTTCGTCAAGCCATTTCATGATGTGCGAAGCTGGTTTCACTAATTGTGCTTTTTGTTGCTCACAAGATGGTCCAATGCACCATGCTAGGACTACATCTAGTATTAAAGTAGTCTACATAAATAGATTCGAGCTCATAAAAGTTGTTAAAAAGAACACCATAACTTTTCGAGGTAGCAATGATTGACTCCATAACAAACTGGAAAAAGGGGCCCTTTTGTTCACGCTCTCTGAGGGGTGAATCAAAATCTTTTCGGGTGAGTTTAATCTAGGGGAAGTCAGGGACTGTAAAAGGCTCATTGTCGGACAATTCTATCCGAAGAAGTGCACAGGAGGAACGTCCCATGCACGTGGAAAATGGGCTCATTGTATGATAGGAGAGCCTTGGGATATCAAATTTGTTTGCAGAGTCTAAAGTCCAGCTGAGAGCTCTATCAGTAATCATGAAAGTAATAGGCGGAATAAGAGACATTAACGCCATTTCAAAATGTGGTTTCATGGACTTAGTCGCGTTGGCAAAGGGAGGAAAACGGGACATGGATGGAAGTTTGAAGTGCTAGTTTATATGAGTCCACCGAACTATGTAGTACCTGCTTCTATATGAGTTTCCACTGAGAATTCTAATGAAACAGTAAGTAAGAGAGACACGGGATTCTTACGTGGAAAAATCCTACTCAAGGGGACAAAAACCACGACCTACACTTGTAGGCTTTCAACTTCAATAACTTGTAATTACACTATTACAAGCCACTTTGTAATGACTCCATTACAAAGATTTCAACTTAACTAACTTGTGCTACACTTACCACAAGCCATTTTGTCACTCACTAGTTACAAAGACTTTGACTTATGACTAACTCTAGTTACAACACAATCTCAGAAAGTTTATGATTTTGAGTTTCCTAAAGCACCGCTTCTAAGAAAGTAAGATAGGAGTTACAATGAAGAACAAATAACAAGATTACAACTCAACTACGGATACACATAGACTCATTATGAAACTGATCATTTAGTGGAGTTATCTTCTTGTTCTTGATGCACCAGTGACTTCAATACTTGATCAACTCTTTAGTGCTAGAGAGAATATCACTAAATGCTCAAGTTAATATCTGGTGCCTTGCACCATGTTGTTATACTACAATGACATCACAAGGATGATGTCAATTCTTGGTTGGTACAAATCTCTTCCCAATGGGAAGTGACCGCTGCACTGTCTGCTGCACTGTCACGTGTACAGTAGCAGACAGTCACTTCTTGTAATTGCTTTCCAGATGTATAGTTGACTTGTACATCTGTCACAGAACACCAAGGGATCAGGTTCCTGTCTTGTTCCTTTTTGCTCTTTATTTGCATCAGTTCATAGTTCAGGCTGGACTTTGTTCATTTGTTCAGACTTGTCAGGTTCCCTTATCTAGTTCTTAACATTATGTTTGTTAGATCATCAAAACATAAGGTAAGGACATTAAAAGATCATCAATTTCCCCCTTTTTGATGATGACAAACTTAGGCACAAATAATGTTTATTAGAGCGAAAATGACCAGATGAGGTAACAGGAACTTCACAAGTTCCCCTTAGCGAAAATGACCAGATGAGGTAACAGGAACTTCACAAGTTCCCCCTGACCTTTTGCTTTTGATTCCCCCTTAATCAGATCCCCCTGTCTCAATCAATGTTCATTGGCATTTTTAATACTAGGCTATATTATACTACTATACTTCCCCCTTTTTGCATCATTAAAAATACACAAACAGGCAAGCCAACTCATGCCACATTTGTGCCCACAACATGACAGAAAAGAGAAGACAAAGGAAAACAGCATTGTAGAAGCAAAAAAGAAGAGCTGTTTCATTGATATAAACAATAGACAGAGCAAAACAGGAGCAGTAATGGTGAAGTCCAACATGCCATCAGCAAAAAGACCAACATAAATAGAAACAGCAGCCACAAAACATCATAACAAAAGATAACTAGTCACTGAGAGATTTCTAAGGGGCACTAGAAGAGAGAGACTTGGAGAGAGAGGCAGCAAGAGTTTTGAGAACCAGATCCAGATGGGCATTTGCAGACAACTGCTCTTCAAGCAGTTTTGCATGAAGCTCAACATTTTCTTTTGTCAAGCGGGCAACTTATTCATTTGTGGGTTTAACGGAACCAGGTCCTCTACCAGCTTGACTGAGCTGAGTTTCCAGTATGGCATTCAGAGCCCTCAATCCCCTGATCTCTTATGAAGCAGCATTTTGAGCATTGATTAGCTGAGAAATGATCGAGATGCTTCCACCAACCTTTTTTACGCACTCACATTCTTCCAGAGTGGTTTTGGAGAAGGTTTGCTTGTGTGTGCCCACTTTGGGATTATCCAAAGGAACCTTGTTGAACTCAAACCCTCGAGTGAGGAGAAAACCATATGGGAGCCCATGATTGCCACCCTTAAAATTTGCCACCTTTTGCATATGGTCTATCATGATTGCTGGTAGATTGATCGGGACAAACTCATCAAGAGCCTCCATTAAGACCAGATCAGACTTTGTAGTGATAGACCGCCTCTCAACACGAAGTAAAAACACCTTATTGACCAGCTCAAAAAGAAGCTGATACTCAGGAAGTAGTACCTTCTTAAGCACCTGTTCCCCCTGTTGAACTGCTTGCTCTTTCATGATAGTTCTCCTAAAGTTAGCACTACATACACCCTTGACTGAGGATGTTCCTTCACATGGAATTTTGAGAACCTTCCCCAATGCTGAAGCATCAAGCACAATGTCTACTCCATTTACCAACACACAAATATAATCCCCCTCAATAGTAAAAAGAGATGCGTAGAAATTTTGGATTGCATCTTTGTACACCTTAGGCATATCCTCCTGAAACAAATGCTTCCATTGCTGAAATTCTACCATCTCCAAAACTTGCCTCATACCTGCCATCTATGAGATCACCGGATCAAAAATATGACCCCACAAGACTTTCTGAGTTCTCAATCTCTCCTGCCAGGGACCACTATCACTAGGTATGACCTTCAGAGAACCAGGTTCTATTACAGTTTCCCTTTTTCGTTTTGTAGATCTTTCAATAGAATTCCCTTTCCAACTTACAAACCCTACAATATCTCCTACACTCTTTTCAGACTTACTGCTACCCTTCACAAATGTTCCATTTTGTTTTTCAATGGCTTCATCGGAAGCTTCATCCACAAAATTATGGGTTTTTGTAAATTGTTTTACTGAGGAACTAGGTTCCTCTAGAGCATCTTTGTCAACCTCACCCATTGGAATGATTTTGTCAGTCACAAACTCCCCTTGTTTCATCAACCTTTCTTCTTTGTCTTAACACTCATTTTTCCTTTCTGCAAGGTAGACTCAAAAGCCTCTCTCTACTGCAACCTAGTAGTGGGTGATTTGGGAGAGGAATCTAAGGGCTTAGGATAAATAGGAGGTTCTTGAGTTAATTTAACTAGAAAAGAGTCAGGTCCTCCAACAGGTTTTTCTGTGACTATTTCATGGACTGGAGACTCGAAGAGTATCGTAGTTCTTTCATCGCGTAGGAATGAAGTTTCTTCCCCCTGATACTCAGACAAGAGATAGGCTCTTTCATTCAAAATACTCTTAGCAATGATAGCCATGATATTGTGCGCTGCTTCCTTTTCAGTTGACTCTATGAGAGCCACTGAGTCTAAAATGGAGGAGCTCAGATACTAATCAAGGTCATCCTAAGAGACCTCTGACACCTGAGAGGTAACACTTCCTGAGTGTTCTTTGGTGAGGTCAGAAGAAGGAGGAGACATGGGGTTTTCAACACATGGAATGAAGATAGAGTTTGACGGAGAAAAAAAACAATAGGAAAAGTGGAAGAGTGAATTTTTGGAGATGACTTTAAAGAAGATAGGGAAGTGGGAGTGGTGTTAATGGTGGGAGAAGGAAGCGTTTGTTCGATAGCCATTGTAAGAGTATTTGGTAGGGAAGGTGAGTGAGAGAGAAGTTAGGAGAGGATCAAATAGTTACAAAAGAGATGAAGGTTCATGACTTGCTGTGAGGGAAAAGGAGAGCTTTATGGAAAGAAGGGCTAATGATGATGAGGAGGAGAGAGAGAGAGAAACAAGTTCTGAAGGGTCTTGAAAACGGAGGTAGGTTTGTGGGAAAACTTTATCGTGCAAAGAAGGTGAAGGGATTTGAAAGACAAGACATGACATGCAGACTTTGAAAAGTCAGATGATGTGACAGTTGAATTAATTTTGTTAACCTTTTAAGAAGGCATGCAAAGACAACATATTACTACTAACCTGTGGTACAGGAACCTGATTCCTGAATGTTTCTTGAAAAAGATTTTAACAGCTCTTCTTTTGCAGTTCGTCATTGTACTTTTAGCTTCTATGATCGTCATGTGTGTTTACCTACAACTGTATCGATGTGAGTTAGTCTTGGTCAGAAAATACTTTAGTTAGTTTTACCTGAAGGAGATTTTCATAGCCAAATGATGAGGTATCAGGTTCTCAATTTAGCTTTAATAGACCCAGCTTCACCCTCTTTCCTTCAAAGTGATTCCTCACTCAGCTGTTGAGAGAACCGTTGTGTTGTATTTCCTTGCACCCCATAAGATTAAGCATGATACAATAGAAGGAGTCATTACAGATGTGTTTTTCCTATCAACAAAATAACCTGCATAGTCAGCATCAACATACCAAATGAGACTGCAACTGTCACCTGAGGGGTAATACATGACCAGGTCCTGTGTTCCTTTAAGGTATCTCAGAATTCTTTTGGCCGCCTTCAAGAGAAATTCCTTGGGATTTGATTTTGAGTTCTATCTGGGATGGAAATACAGAAAGGACTAGGGATTTTCGGCTTTTTATCTTGTATGAATCCAAAATCAAGGGGGGGGGGGGGGTGATTATGTTATCGAGTGGATGGGAGCTATTGTGTTTCCAAATGAGGACTGAGGTTTGATTGGTAGAGGAACTGGGTAGTTTAAGTGGATTTTCCTGCACTCCTTGTTCTGCTACTTGTGGAGTCTTTTGCACTATAACTCCTGCTTCAGTTGATAATAATTGAAGTACCAGGTTGGCTCCAACTCTGTCTCTTTCATCTGACTCATCATATTCCCTTGCCATTGAAACTTTAGATATTTCACGAGAGCCAAAAGTGGTTTGTCATCTTGAGCATCACCGTTTCCTCCTTTGTTAGAAGAAGGAGTCTTGTCGAATAGCTCATGACCACTTTCTTCCACACATTGTGTCCTTTTGTTGCAGACTTTGTAGACTTTGCCTTTTAGAGGGATATCTCAGAAGGATTCCTTCACCATTTTTGCATCAGACTTCCTAAGCTGGTCCTTCCCATTGTTGAGATCATACAGCTTGCATCCAAAGATTCTCAGATGAATTATCTTTTGGATTTCTTCCGCTGAGTAGCTCAAGGAGGGTTTTGTTAAAGGGGGGACCTGATCGTACACCTGTTCACCAAGTAGTAAGCAGTGTTTATTGCTTCTGCCCA